GAAGTAGATGGTGTCAACTGTATACAGGGTTTTTGCTTCACTTTCAATAATTATTAGTAGACCACCGCTTTCCAACAGATGCTATTAAGATGTCGTTATTTTCTATTCTGCGTGTTTTCAGTAAAGTAACTGGTAGCTAGGAATCTTCCAACCTCGCCTGGTTAACTAGTACATTAGTTACTAGCCGGTAATAACCCCAGATAAACAAAGAATGTTAGGCATACAGCTAACAAAAAAACCCATAAAACCAATCTAACTGCCTAAAAACCTCAAAGCACAAACAAAATATAAACAACAAGATTAAACGTACTCCTCACTGAAATCAGAGAGACGAAATGATGCCGGTTGGTGAAAGCCTGCCTTCGGGAAGCCAGCAAGCCAGCCAGCCAATGTGTCATCTCACTCTCCATGAAAGCGAAAGTAAGAGAGGGGACATGCAATGCCACACCATGTGTCAACCTGGCAAGACTGCCCAAATAGGCAAAGGGATAAGGAGGTGTAGTATGGAAGTGCTAGGCTAGAAATCTGCGAAAGCAGATGGAATGGAAGTGGACTCTCCAAACTGTCAAATCGAGAGGAGTCAATAATCTACTCCAATATTGTCACCCAGATGACACGACAACCACGAGCACAACACAGCACACTGAGTTTTCGAGTGGCTACCGTGATTTAGTCAACATCATCGAAGGCTCTCATGCAGTGGGAACCGATCTCCTTCTCCAGGACCATCGCAGCAAGATTCAACTCAAGAGGAAGGAAAGTCACAATCATACATTGCTACACTACGCTACGCACCTACGAATGATGCAGATGAAGGGAAGAAGGAGGAATTCTACATACAACTGCAATCAACACTGGACAAGAGCCCACCCTAGTTGGCGACATCAAAATTCTAATGTGTGGTGACATGAATGCCAAACTGGAGCGGACAACACAGGAAGAGAGCAAACCATGGGCCGAGGAGCTTTTGGTGAAACGAACGATAATGGAGAATTGTTTGCAGACTTCTGCGCATTTAATGACTTGTTGATTGGAGGCAGTGTGTACAAGCACAAGGATAACTACAGAGCGACATGGATTTGATTTTACCAGGTGGACACACTAAAAGTCATATCGACTTCATTCCAATCTGGAGGAAGTCGAGACGCAGCCTACTGGACACAAGATGAGATCAAGAAGAGGAGCAGATGTAGGTTCACACCACTCACCATCTAGTTCATGGAACATTCAAAACCAAGTTGGAGGCCTTCAGAGATGTTGCTGATACATCACAGTCAAAACTAATCACCTAGAATTTACAATGGACATCTTCACGTCAGTCAGTCACCAAGTAAAAAATAAGAGATACTGAGCAACATTCCTGAAGAAACCTGCATGAAAGAACACTGGAACTCATCATAAGAGAAGTGGAAGGAAACCTGCATATGGAAGGGAAGGAAGATGGGTCAAGACAAGGAATGGATCACGGCGGACACATGGAAGCTGATAGAGGAGGGGAGGAGGGAGAGGAGGATGGTGAAGCAGCAAATGAACCAGTGCAGGCAGGGATGAACAACCAAAAGTGTAACTGAACACAACGTATAAAACACAACACTGGACAAAGAAGTGAAGAAGAGTGCGCTCAAAGACCAATGACACTTCTAAGACACACTTGCTAGTGAAGCAGAACATGCTGCTGGCAGGAGAGACAAAGACCTGACTACACTATATAAAATAACCAGGTTAATATCTGGGAGTGAAGAGGTCAACGCAGATGAGCCCAATGAAAGATAGTGAGAAAAGGTAGTTACCAAAGAGAAGAAACAAAGGAAATAATGGGCTGACCACTTCAGGAAACTCTTCAATCGACCACCGCCACCACCACCTTCAACTCCTCTGGAAATTCCAGCAGCGGCTCAGCCATAGAATTATGAATGAACACAAGCCTCTGACAAAAGCATACATGAAGTTTTGAACGTCATAAAGTTGAAGAAATCCGGGAAGGCAGTAGGACCGGACGAAATTTCACCAGAAACACCGGAAACAGGTGCAGATACAATAGCAGACACGCTCACACCACCTTCATTGCAGAAGGTTTTGGGAGGAAGGTAGAAAAGATACCTTCACACTGGAAGAAGGGCTATCTTGTCAAGATTTCAACGAAGGACGACCTAATTCTCTGAAAGAACTGGTGATGAATAATGATCCCGTCCACTACAAGCAAAATATCAAGCCGCATCTTACTGCAGAGACTAAAATATCCTCTGGATTCAAAATTACTACCGGAACAGGCTGGCTGACTGGCTTCAGGAAGAACAAATCATGTGTGGATCAAATTGCAATGCCTTGCTACGTATCATCATAGAACAGAGCATAGAATGGGTTGCAGTCAACTCAGTTCAACCTCAACTTCATCGACTTTGAAAGGGCCTTCGACAGTGTCAACCGAGAAGTAATTTAGCAGGTAGTTGCTTCAACACCAAGGTTTTAGTGCCACAAATCTTTATCAACCTCATTCAACAGCCATATGAAAACGCCACATTCTAAGTGATTCACTACAAGAAGTTCAGTGACGCCTTCAAAGTGAAGATGGAAGCAAAACATGGCTACCGCCTAATATCGCCAATGACCTTCCTGATTGTGGTTGACTCGACTGAACTGGATCAAGCAACAAACTGTGAGGAGTGAGAAGATGGGCATACGCTGGCTGAAAAGATCCCAGAATAATTGGATTTAGCCAATGGCAATTTATGCCCAATGTCTGTCGCACAGTTCGAAGATCTACAGGCAAAAACCAACAGGTTGACAGAAGAGGCAACGAGGACGGGACTTCCTTCAAGTGAAAGTAGAGAAGACAGAGGTGATGAAGATACCCAACCACCACCACCAACAACAACAACAACAAGCACTTGCTACCATGAATGAAAGAAATTGAAAGGAAGTTATCTCATTTCAGCGAACTAGGAAGGGCAACATCGTTCCAACTGCAGGTGGCGCACAGATGAGGTCGTCAAAACCAGGGTCGGAAGGCAGCAAAAGAGGCCTTCATCAACCTGAAGCCAGTGTAGAGATCTACATTGCACTTAGCATAAATTGTAAACAACATCCGGATATTCAGCACTAATGTCAGTCAAGTCAAGTGCTGCAACAATTTTACAAAATTTTTCTTTTAATTACTATTCGAACAAATGTTTTCATAGACTTACTTCAAATATGATTTTAAGCATTTTGAAATTACGTTATTTATTTGAGACTCATGTATAAATACTATGATGAAATCTAGAAGTCTGAAAATGAAGTACCCATGTTGATATCATTTTTCTGAAGTTTTATACAATTTTCAGCAAACTTTCAGATATCCGACTGATTTTCTCAGTGGCTTAGATCTTAACGGTCATTTTTTGGTAGAATTACTCGCCTGCATTAGTTACCCCAAATGTTTAAATTCAGAGTAAGAATCGAATGGAACTGAAAAATGGCAAGAATTCTCACAGATTGACGAATTCCATTACTTTGAAAGAAAATATTCCCGGCTTTCTGAATGATTACTTTTCAAAGCAGAACTACTAATGTGCCTTTTCGTTAAAACTGATAATGAAACTTTTCAATAGGTATGGTTTGGCAGACTGTTGTTCATACTGGGTGAAGTGAAAACTAAGTTGTGATGAAATTCAGTCAGCCTCTAGGTTACCGATCTGGAGCTCAACCAGATGAGTAATCAGGCCTCGCCATTGGCCATTTATTTGCTTTGCTTCAAGCACCAAGATTGTAATCTGCTTGTCGTCTGAACTGGTGGTGTGTAATTGTATTTAACCTTGATCATCGTAGTCTCAGTAGTATCCAATAGACGCCAATAAGAGAGAGGAAGCGTTGCACTGATTGTAAATGAGACTATCTGATTATTTTTTAAAATTTAAATAAAACAATCTACACATCTATCTAGAACGCTACGAATACAATAGCAGATAAGGGTTGAAGGCATCAATCAAGAACAGTTGACTGCATTTTTACAATGAATAATATTCCAAGCACAGTCTTCTACTTGCTTATAACATCACTTTCTCAAAGTAATCATACAGTCGTTGAAAATTTATTGGGTTTTTCGGCATACAGACAGATACGTATTCGTTGACTCTTTTTTTTGTTTGTTTGTTTAGGTGTGTATGTGTATGTGCGTGTACTTGATGTAGTTCAATGTTATGTTGCACTAAATCATATAGTTGACTGAAAAAAATGTCTTATCTGACAGGTATCTGAAGTGCCTGTTTATGATTTAGTCTGTCTGTTTTCCTATGCATCTCAGCATGTGGTATACGGTGTATGAATAGATATAAACATACACAAGACTAGCTTTGAAGGTAAGGTTGCTTATATACTAATAGAAATGGAATATAACCCACATACATCAATGATGTAAATAATTTGATGTCCGACTATTCAGTCAATGAACTCGTCTATGGCTTCTAATTCACACAAAAATGAGTTCATTATATTGTCACTAAAATGGTTTTATAATCAAATTTATAACAGCGAAAGAGGTCGAATTTAAAGATACTCAATGTGATATACTGCTATGTGATATACTCTGAACCTGAAGAAAACAAAGAATAGAGAACTACTACATGTAATTAAAGATATATGCAACAAATGAATTCTGTGAATGCACTGATGTCGTAAATATGCATAAAGCAATGAAAATAAAGCTGGACTACCCAACTAATTTTTAATGTTAAACCAATGATTATCAATACATCAAGAGGAAGTTGTCTTATTTTACCACGTTTTAATTGAGTCAGCCCATAGTTCAATACCAACAAGCAATTATTTTACCAACTGTAGACAATCATTTAAAGTTTTTATGTATGCCGACTATGTGTTAACTGCATGAATAAGGCTGAAAAAAACCCAAAATTTATCACTGATCAAACTAAATGATGAGATTCATGACAAAGTTTGTGCAAACAATTAGACTTTTACTAATCACTTTATACGTCACTCAAAGTACTTTATTTTCAAGCGTCATGTCTTCTGATATAGATGTTATACCAGCGCCTATCGATCCAGCTTTACTGGGAACCGACGTCTCCAGTAAGGAAGCTTTCGGCTTATCTCCAGATGTTTTGTTATTGACAATAAATCAATCAATCAATACTGAGTGTATTAGTGAAAACAAATCATTAATAACCACATGTATAATATTTATTTTATCTGTAATAGTTACAGTGGCTACAGCTGGTGGAAACTTTCTAGTTATTCTCGCTGTGATCTTAGTAAAGAAACTTCAAACACCGAGTAATATTCTTATTGGTAGTTTAGCATTCAGTGATCTCTTTGTAGCATTATTAGTTTTGCCATTTACAATAATTGATGCCTTTAAAGGATACTGGCCATTCAATGAAGGATTATGTGATATGTATATATCTTTTGATGTACTTTTATGTACAGCATCAATTCTAAATCTTTGCGCAATCTCTATTGACCGGTATTTGGTTATAACAAGACCGTTAACTTATGCAAGTAGGCGAACACCTTGCAGAATGGCTGGTATGATAGCTGCTGCTGGATAGGTTCAGCTTTAATTAGTATTCCACCGAATTTTGGATGGAAAGAACCTTTTCAGAAATGTGCGTGTGAATATAGTAAAAACGTGGGTTATCAAGTATATGCAACATTTTTTGCATTTTATCTACCCCTTATTGTAATGATCATTCTATACGGTAGAATATTTAAATTGGCTAGAGAAATGTCGCGTAGTGGTCATACACAAATGACACCTAGTGTACCACGTAAATCAACTGGAGTACCAGAAGCTACATTTAATGACTCAAAATTGGGACCTGTAACTGATAACCAAACACAAGATACATCACATTTTAGAGACAACAATACCATAGAGTACTTACACTCGGATAACGAACATATCAAAACAAATGAGTCTAGTAATGGTGTAAAACACGATGCTAATCGCAATATTTGCTGTGAACTAAGAGAAAAAGATGGAAGATTGAATTCTAGTTCATCAAGGAAACCATTAACAGAATCAGTTTGTACAAAAAATGATATGACCGATGAAATGCAAAGAAGAAGATCACGTGGAAACTCTGATACCAAAGTGATTAAAACTCTTGGAGTTATTATGGGATGTTTCTGTCTATGTTGGCTGCCATTTTTTATGATGCAGGTGAGTTCGTATTTGCATGAAAGGTTTTCTAGACTGTTATTCTTTCCAGAGCAGAAGTACACTTTTAGTTCAGTCAACTGTGTTTTAACTAAGGCTTTCATTATTGATAACGTAAGCATTGCTTTTGAGGTATTAAAAATTTTTGAAAATGAAATCCTTTTTAGAATAAAATAGACCAACTACGATTTTATAATAAAACTGTGACTGTTATCCATGAAGGCTTGACAGAAAACGTATTCCTTTTATTCCCTTTTTATCGACTTATGTTGATTATCGCGTCTAAATGGATGGCTCGATTGATTGTTGTTGTTCGTTTCCACTGTGTACACAGTGCACTTCCATTCATGGAGGTTTCCTATGGATCACTGCAATGAAGGAACCGAGCAAGGTAAATAACTCCTGGCCAAAAGACTCCAAATGCTAACACTTAGTTAAGCCTTCACACTGTACATTAAGTTAATTGATTTCAATACGAAGTTTTCATTTGATATCAGAGTTGGCTACCGACTTTTAGTTGGTCTGCAATTGCCACCCTATTATTTACCTAACTGTTGATGTCATTACACTAGTTGTAGCAATGCAAGCCGGAATTTAATTTAATTGTCTACTTTTGGCATAAGTAGTAAAACTTATACCTACAATCTTTATTTGTGGTATTGTTAAACTTACTGTTAATCTAGATGAGTTCACTTTCTCAGAGAGACAGGTAGCCGTAGATTTCTAAGACACTGGTTAAGAGATGCATGTTATTGGGATAGTTTATCTGCAAGTCTAACATAAACTCTGAGAATGTTTGGTTTTTGTTAAATTGCCAATTTTTGAAAAAATAAGTCAGGAAGCAGTATCAAATTTACAGTTCTTTGAAAGGCTCTCATAAAAAACAAATAGATTGGATAGAGAGATAAATATACTGCTGCTTACATGGAATGATTTATTTTTTCGACAAGGAATGCAATATGCATAAATATCTTGAATAGAAATTCCAAATTTTGTTTTTGTGATCACTTAGTAGGTAATGTATTCTATACTTTTTTTTGTATAACATTTGAAACTTTATCTTAGGTAGTTTGTATTCTTCAAATCAAAGTGGTATTACGCAGTGTCCTCCTTTTTCTTTTTGTTATAATGTGAAAGGCATATCTATATTCTCAGTGGAAATAAAATGTTAATAACTTTATAATGTAGCTTAAATCGCAAATATATTTGTTCGAATATGTATGTTAATCACGGTGGAACCTCATTTTGAGCAATAGGGGATCTAGTTTAATATAAAGACTGTCATAGATACTGGTGACTATAGTAATGCTTTTGTCTAGAAATTCTGACATCAGTTAAGGGTTATATTGTTCTAAGTTAGTATGCTTTGCAGAAACGCAGGCATAAGTACGTATACCTCTTTCGGTGTTTCAGAATCAGGAGGATTTTATCTTAATAACTTGAATGACTGGGTTATTGGCATGTGTTATGTTTAAATGGTGTAAATATGTCTAGTAAGTCAAGCTAAGAAAAATGGTATTTTTAGAACTGGTATACGAAATAAAATCTCACCAGGTAGCTTTTCCAATAAGATCGCAGCCAGCAGCACAATTAAAATCAACATAATGTAAGAAGATGTTTAATTGTATATTTTCGATAGATGAAGCAAGTTAAATAATACTTACAAAATGTGAATTCATTTGCGCATTTTAAAGTTATCTGTCTTATGTTATTCAATGCATTCACTGATACCTCACTTACATGAAATTGGTGCCTGAATTGCCTCGGAATTTCTATGTGAAAAGAATCTCTTGATAACTTGTGTTAACATGTTTTTAAATAAAACTTAGTAATAAATTACTTTCAAGATACTACAGATTAAACTATTTGAACCAGAATAAACTGCGGATGAAAATCACTTCGAATAGAGTAAGACCAAAAGGCAGTCTAACGATAATGCCTTTATGATCATGTTGAATCATATAAAATGAGTAATCTTGTAACACAAAACTCTATTTATTTTATACAACTTGAAGAGGGAAGGATATCTAGCAAAAGTTGGACACTGAACAACCTAGAAGACTAAATTGCGGTTATACGTGAATGTACTTGTTAAAACCGTATACTGTATGGTTAATGCACACCAGATAAAGCATGAGGTATTGTGATAACTTGCAGCTATGATCAAAAAAATGACTTCGACTAGCAACTGTCTATTCCTTTTTCAAGGTTAAACGTGTAATAATTTCTTACTAATATAAATACAGTTACATAGATGCAATTTTTCTCATCTAAGTGTTAATAGCCGTTTGTTTATTTATATGATGATATTCCCTAGAAGTATTGGTAAAGTGCCTTTTAATCCATCTGCTACTACATAATACTTCAGATAATGCTTATACTACCTGTATTTTATTATTACGACCAGAATCAATGCTGCTGCTGTTACCATTTCTAATTCAATGTATCACCTTTAGTTCTGCTTAATAGAAAATTTTTTCACGCGTTAAAAGTGTTATGGCAACGACTTTATAAGGACACGTTTTCTGGTAACATGCAAAACCTGATATCATATATATATAAATATTATATATAACTACAATGCAAACAAAGTGAATGCGTTGGTTTTCTAGTCAATTATATAGTGATATTAGAGAGCCAACTAATGCTTTTCGGTCTAAGTGGTACCACTTCAGCCAATAAGTTACTCTATTATAGGGACTTAAATTTCACACTAATAAAAAAGTGTAACTAACAATTATACGAACATGAATAAGTGGTGCAAAATGCAGACCATAGAAATTTACCTTAAGAACATGAAATTCGATTATGATAAATAATGCTCGAAAACATCTTTCGTCGACATACCATTCACGACAATTAGTCGTAGTAAATATTTTTTACAAGAATATATCAAAAGACGCTATGACTATGGTGAGTGGTGATCACAATCAGTATGCAACAGTTATAGACCGTAAAACTTCATACATATTTTTCAATAAGGGAGAACAGTGCAGCCCTATGGATTAAAATAAAATGAAATATTAAGAGTGATAGACATTATAGATGTCTAAAGAAAGGAAAGCCCAAAATCCAGGTACACGTTTATGATAGTTGGTTAATGGTTTACGGAAATCAATGTGATTAATTACTGGTCAAAATCAATCGCAGTTTATATCTAATCAGAAAGGAAAGTCTCAAGTCGTAAAACAGAAGGACGCCATACGAGTGTGAATGGAGGTGTAAAACATTAATTTTAGTTCGACTGGTAGTTTGAAAACCTCAAATTACCTGTGAGCAAATTTAAACATTTCCATAAACACGTCATCAAAAACGTTTGTTATCCAAATCGCGCTTAGTTGTGCGCGAACGCGCATAAAATGAAAATCAAAACATATACCATATACAAATATTGGAATAACGTGAAGATGGCTTAGATGAGATGAAAAACAAAGTATAAAGGGATAAGCAACATATCCTACATTTCATGGTGTTACGAAACTTCATAAGTATTATCAATGCCAGAAATCTTAAACCATTCTCAATGCCTACATGTAAGTTATTCGGCTGTGGAAGTTAATGCTTCATTGCTTTCTATGCTCGTCCGAGAAGTGGATATTACAGTAAGTTAAATCAATAAAATTTTCCAAGTTACCAGGAAGAATGAAATTTCATGACACATATTCGTTTTTCAGTTACGATATTATTCAATGAAAACCGGCAGAATAGAAAAAAAGTAGGCGCTTACAGTAGAATGAAAACAATTTAACTTTATATTTTTGTGCTCCTAAAGTATCACCTTGTCTCTAAGAATTACTTTACAATATTTGGTCATATTCCGACCGTAGTCAGTTTATTTATCACAAAGAGCTACATTAGCTCCAAATAATAAAAAGTTCACGATAATGTTGATCCAAATAAACCTAGTTTAGGGTAAGGTACTATGCTGTAAAACGTTTCCTATGTAGTCTATTTATCAAAACGGTTCAAAATATGCTCTAATTAACATAAGTTTACAGTGTAAATAGAAAGGGAGTTTAACTGTCACAAGGACGATCAATGATGAAGGAGAAGGAATAAAAACACGGAAACAATCTGGTGATCACTGAACTAATTTTAGCGGTTGCTTCATGTCAGTTACATGTACAAAGATAGGGAGAAATAGATTAATATTATGAGTAACTCATTCGACTTTTATCAGTTCACCTAAGAATCGCGTTGAAATTATAAGGACTTGCGATTTATCTGAGGTCCAGTGCAAGCCGCCTAAACTTGATGGGAAAATGTAGGTTTGATCGAGTTCTTTTCAAAACAAATTTTGTTATCCTCATGCTGTGAAATTAAGCAAGTTCGATAATCCAGTGCATCAAAGACGGTACAATCACATTTAACAAAAATTGCCTATATCACTAATACGTAGGGTTCCACAGGTTCAGGTAAAATTTACATTTTAGCAGTGGTCAGGTGTTTAACATGTTACAGAAGAAATCCAGGCCTTCCTAAGCTATTTCCTTTCAAATGTTGATAAAACAAGTAAATAGTTGATTTCTCTCTTGAAAAAACCTACTCAGGTAAATTATATGATGATGATTAACGAAAGGAAGCATTATTATCTGTGGATATGAAAACTCCCTCTACTAGTTTTCCACTCATCGTAACATCAAGTTACAGTACGGACGAAAAAAGTGAACTAGTTGGTCAGTAAAGCCTGAAGAATATTTCTTCAAAATCTGTGCAAACTCTAATATTATTTAACAGATGTAAGGAAACGGATTGTTCTTCACGTTAGGTAAAGCTGAAAAGTAATGGAACTAACACGTGTTTACACTCAACTTTGTGTTTGTATCTTTCAGATATTTGAAGATTGTGTCTTTTATTGTCATGAACTAATGAAATTTGTATGTGGTTTATCATCTTAGAGGCTTTTTCGATTGCTATTCTATCATTTCCCTTTTACTGTCCTTGAATTTGCTCGTTTTTTCATACCATCTTAGGAACTTATCGGAAAGAATATTCTTTGTTCA